ACTCTCGCATATAGGTTACTACTGTTTCGTTATAATGCGTAATAGCGCATAATTGAAAGTGGCACCGCGTAATGTAGCAGGTGGCATGGCCACTATAGCTCGTGAAAACACACTGGAAATGCACCTGCAGGTGGTAAAAATTATGTCTGTTAATTCAAGTAGATTGCTTGAAATCCAAGTAGTTTTTACTTAAATTTCAAGGAATATTCTTGGATTACAAGATCTTATTTTTACCGTGCGGCAGGTAGGGAATCAAATCCCGCTCGTTCATAGGCAGTCGGTAACAGACTGACTTTTACATTTTGTTGGAGCCAGTTGAAGTTGAAATTGAAATGTAACAGCCAGAAGCCAGTGCAAGCAGCCGGAGCCCAGCCCCAGCCCAGCTATAGAGCTAGGCCCACGAAGACAGCCCTCCCGTACGTTTTATTTTTGATTTTAATTTCCCGATTTTTCGATTTTAAATTTTTATTGATTCCTGTTGTTATTTCCGCGTTGTGTTGGAACCAGCTTTCAAATAATCCGACGACTGCCTTGCTACAAGCCAGCTGGCTAGTTTGTTTTTGTGCTACCCTGACGGACATATTTCGGGCAGTCCGGAGCACGGACTAGTCCGAAAGACGACCGGGCAGCGCGCTTTGGACTGTACCAGACTCTTGCAGATTTTTCTCACTTCTCGGTGTATTCTCGGTATAGACCGGGATTTAGTTTCTTAGTTTCGGGCTGTTCAGTTGGCAGTCCGATTTTCAGTCTCCTTTCGGTACAAAACCTTCTTATAAGGGATCTTACCTTAAGGAACTCGGGAGATAACTGCTCTCCTTTCATTATGTTGACCTCCTTGAAGTCGTACGGTAAATTTAGCGCAGCCAGCACCATCATGACCGCACGCACAGGTGGACTGACATTGATGCCGTGGAGAACGAGGGTCATGGTGCCTGTCCTTGTGTCAGTATTCTGTAAATGAGAAGAGGACAGGGGATGTAGGCTCTACAATAATTATCCTTAACGTAGGGGCCCGTTGGGTGAAATGAGACAACTCAAAATTTGGGCAGAATAAGACAAGAGAATGAGAACTTTTTTGGTAAAGTTTTTATGGCACAAGCTTATACTGCTTCTTGAAAACATTCGTCCTAGGTTCGTTCTATTTGAAAAAAACCACATCACTGTGATTCGAGGGTGTCAACAACTTAGTGACTTACGTTACAAGACCTGCGTCTGCGTCTCTGCGTCTCAATCCACACAGCTGCTTGGGCATATGTTAACACCCTTGTCCTGTACAGGTTACAATTAACGTGCAGGATTCAACAGGCCACCTTTGACTTATTAAACTGTATTTTGATGACTTTTGATTTGTGTGATAAATTATCAACTTTTGTCTAAAAATGTACTGCTAAGAACTGATCTCTCATTCGGAGTAAGAGAAATTGTGTGTGAGAATTCATAACCTTACAGACAAAGTAGATACTGAAACACTACCTGCGACCTGAGGTACCGCCGACGATGGGCCGAATGCTCGCTATAACTGGACGGCCTAATGCACTAGCGTGCAACCATGCAATAGCCTAGCCCCCCCCCCCCCCCCTCTATGTTTTCCTTCGCTCGCGCTATGGCCTTGATGAGATCCGGCCGTCATTGCTCAAATGTGGAGGACCGTGTGCACTGACCGTGACTAGTATTTACTCCTCCAAAATTGTATGCCATGAGCCTCAACTACGCATTTTCAGCTCATAGGTCGGCTGACTGTATGTCGGAACCTGGGCTATCAAAAGCGTACAAATTGGGTATTCCGCTACAACACAATCGGAACCTAAAGAAGAAAAGCATGACTCCCCGATCTGCTTCCTCCTGAACGCTGATTTGTGAAAGATGGGATGGTTGTGGCGGTCAGACATTGAGCTCGCAGAGGGAAACATATCGAGCAGTCATGTTTTCATCTTTAGGTTCCGGTTGGCTTGCAGCGGTATACCCTATTATTGGTTACTAGGTTGATGAACGCCCAACAATGTCTCGCGTAACAGGCTTCGAGATATTTCAAGAAACTCTGACGCTTCGTCGCGTCTGGAATACATCCTTATATAGAGAACCACTGTACCCACTATGCGTATGACTCGGCCAGCCATTATGCTTTGAAGGGGACTGGTTTGGCTTTATAAAGAAACACAGTTTAGGTGCCAGACGTATCACATTTTCACTTAGTGCCCAATCTTTCGGCCCACCATTCTGATTAAAAAAAATAAATAAAAAACGTTATCAATTCTTTGCCAGATAAAGTAGGCAAAAATTACCGCGAACACCCCTGTGCGTAGTGGGTTGCATCTCTACGCCTGCCTTCTAGGCAACATTTGCACATCAGTGCTGAGGGGTTGCCTGGTAGCCAGGCGCAAGATGCAACACACACAACACCAAACATTTTCCTTAACTCTTGCGATTATCTTTCGTATATCTGCATCTGCATGATATGTAGCTAATAATCTGCAGCCGATAAGCTAACGAAGCGATAATCTTTGACCCGTCACTCACGGCTCTGTTGTGGGTGAAAGAAAGGACAGCTCATGGCGAAACAAGAAGATAGTGTGTGCCCCTTTGGACGGAAGGGATTGGAACGGCAGTCTGGCTTTGACTTTCTTTACGTCAACAAGTGAGATTGGTGTGAGGTAAGTTCGAGAGGGTGATCACTCTCGCATATAGGTTACTACTGTTTCGTTATAATGCGTAATAGCGCATAATTGAAAGTGGCACCGCGTAATGTAGCAGGTGGCATGGCCACTATAGCTCGTGAAAACACACTGGAAATGCACCTGCAGGTGAGCGACATTCACGTTTGTGACCCGCAGCTTAACGTAACTTCATGAACCAATGGGTATTCGACACAGTTTTGGGGTATCTGCTCGGAGGCAAAGGTGAGATATGCAGGGGTCTCAGACACGCGGCCCGCGGGCCACTCGGGCGAGTCTCGGGCCGCAGTGCGGCCCGCTGCGGGCCGCAATGGGAGATATAAGCGGGCCGCTCGGGGCCGGCCGACAAGCGACACGCCCGGTAGCGAGGGGCGTCGCTGCTAGCACGCGTCCGAAAACGGCAGGTGGACGTGAGATGGAGCAGCAGCGCAGTTAGAGCATCTCACTCACACCTGTCGTTTTCGTACGCATACGCGCTCAAATGCTCGCTTGCGGCTGGCGTTCGGTAGGTGGTAGGTGGACGTCCAGCCTGCCTCCTCTCCTACGGCGCATCCATCTGTCTCACTCATCTCCGTCTCCGTGCGGCCGGCTCACAAGGGAACCCCGCCAAGTGTAAATTCCCGATTTTCATTCTACTTTGGGAAATTGTTGGTCTAAATATGTCATGGAAGGACACATCAAAGATTTTTGCTTAAATTCATATTTAAGGGTAATTTTGGGTATTTGTTCAAAAAGCTGCTATTTCAATTATTTTTTAAAACTTTCAAGAATGCTTCCTGTAGGGTAACTCGTCAAATTGCGGCCCTATGGGCAAAAATTTTGTCCGTTTTGCTCTATCTGAAGCCGTTTAGGCGCTACCGCTACGTTTAGGAGGGGAAATGTACGGGAATCACTGGGGCTTAGGAGCAGCGGTTGTAAAAAGCAGTCCCACAAAAAATGTTATAAAACAAAAGTTGTAGAAAAATGTAAGCTCTTTAACTTTTGTTTTATAACATTTTTTGTGGGACTGCTTTTTACAACCGCTGCTCCTAAGCCCCAGTGATTCCCGTACATTTCCCCTCCTAAACGTGGCGGTAGCGCCTAAACGGCTTCAGATAGGGCAAAACGGACAAAATTTTTGCCCATAGGGCCGCAATTTGACGAGTTACCCTACAGGAAGCATTCTTGAAAGTTTTAAAAAATAATTGAAATAGCAGCTTTTTGAACAAAGACCCAAAATGACCCCTAAATAT